TGAACTAACAAGCATCAATCTTATCCAATGTACTAGAAAAGTTATAATTCACTGGAGAGATCAGAATAAATCAGAGTCATGGGAGCCTTTAGCAGCAGCACTTGCCAAGATTGGGTTTAAAGATTTAGCACACAGAGTCAAAGATCATTTTGAATCTCCTCCTGTACCTGAACCAGAACCTGAAGATACAGAAGACCATTATAAGGGAGTTTATTGTAATCTCTGTAAAGAATACCATCTTAAACCTGAAGACATTCAACAAGAAGTACATGCACCAAGTAAGTTGTGTTCCATATTAATTGAGACATTTATTTGTCATTCAATCCACTTTTACAGAGATCAACTCTCCTCCTGATATTGTTGATCTTACTAGCCTAGTAGCAGCAAAAATTCAAGACAAGTTCTATCAATTTGGAACAGCAATTCACTTGAATGATGGATTCTTAAAGAGTCTCTATGATACTTATCATGATCCCATTGATAGATTCATTGCTGTTTTTAATAGATGGAAGGACAATGATCCTGACACATACACATGGGGTACTGTCATTAAGGTACTTAAGTCTGATGCTATTGGAGCTCATGCAGTGGCTCAAGATGTCATGAAGCATCTTACCACTAATGCAGAGGCAGCAGAGCATGCTTCCAACTAATTGTTTTTGTATGGTTTTTGTAGGTGTGTGATGTTTACCATTTTTATATTTTACAAAGTTTATGCATATTTTATTTTACCACTTGTATACATGATTTTTTAGAACTTTTGTTTTTACTATTGATGTCATGATTGTTATTTTATATTTTTTATTACTGAATTGATTTTATTTGCTTTTGATGATTGTAAACTGAGCTTCATGAGCTATGCCTTGACGTTTTAATAACTCTTATCTTTTGTTGTATTGTTAAAGATTCTGATTAGCATCAATAAAAATATTAATTTGGTTATTATAAAAAGTACAAAATTTCACAGAGTAGACATAAAAATGTTCTTTGGGCTCTCGTTAAAACCTAAAGCCTTTCCAAGTACAAGGAACTGACTTCTGAGGTAATCAATGTTCACATAGGTAGTCTACATAATGAAAAGAGAACAGTATTATATTCAGTTGTATCTATTAATAAATGTATAAATATTATTTAAATTTTAAACATGTGTCATTGGTACACAAGTATACAATCACAGAATAAAATTTGGCTACGGTACACAGATAATGTTTTTATATACCACTACATTTGTACATGTGCTCTATGTGTGCATTATACTGTACATGAAAATTTCTGAATCCACCGTTCAGTTGAAATGAGTTTCTGGAGTGTAGGAAACGACGATTGTTAAATGCAATGATTTGTCCAGGTAACAGACAATGCTCCAACTACAGAAATATAATCATTATTAATAATAGAACTTAACTAAGCAATTAAGATCAAAAATTGATTGTAACAGTAATATTAAGACACTTACATGATACTTTGAGCTCTCAATTTTCCTTGACATGTATAAGAAAGCTTTATAATAGCTATCCAGTAGATCCTGCAAGGAATGAGGATACAATGATACAATAGAAATGAAACTTATAATAAATACCAGATCATCCAGCATTACAGGTTCTTGGTGATGAGTGTTCCAATTAACAGTAGCAACCTATAAGTATTAGAATAAAATACCGTAGATCGGGAAATTTTCGTTGTTAAAATATTTTCGTGGTTGAAGCATAGATATACTACACAGACCTGTGTAGTATATCTATGGTTAAAGTGACCCACGAAATTTTGACACACGAAATATTTTCTACAGTGAATAATTAGATTACCAAAATTAGTCTATTCTAACGTGCAGTAGTGCATGCACGGCTGGCACGAGGCTCTTCTTAAAGCCCAACGAAGGCCTGAAGCTCTCACGCAAGAGGCTCCTTGTCAGTTTCAGTGCTGTCACGAGTAACTTCCATCGAATAGCAGTCCAGCATTGTCAAGAGTTAGTAGCCACATGTCCCGTTTATAACACATCCAAAATTTTTCATGTTAAAAAAATTTCATGGATGGGTCAACCAACGAAAATAAAACACCTTGAAAAAATTTCACACCAATTATTTTTAACACAAAAATTTCCCAATCTACGGTAATAATATTTGTATGTGTATTGAATGCTCATAGTAAGTATTGTATTAATAATCCTCTTATACCTCTCCATATCTGTCCAATTGGATGTGTGGGCGTGATATACTCATATCAGATGGGGTCTCAACATCATTCCTAAAATAAATAAAATTAATATCAAACATTAAGAATACTAAAATATAACGGCGATTCATCAAAAATGCTAACTACATATATTTAATTTATTTTGTACTATAAAGGCTCACTTCATGTAATGTCGTCTCTGAAATGAAACCGGTACTTTAGTGAGGACCTCGAAATACTGAGGGGCCTCTTGTCTGAGCTCTTCCAGGACTGGATAGAAATCAAGAAATATATTCTCACCTCCAACCACACAAGAATCCCTTCTATA